TGTGAGAAAACGCACAATGATGGCTTTGACCTTAATGGGTGGTCCGGAAATTTTGGTACTCGACGAACCCACGGCTGGATGCAACGCATATAGCAAACGAATAATCTGGACAATCATAAAATCGCTGAAAGCAACCAGATGTACGATTTTGTTGGCTACTGACAAGTACGTGAAGATTTGGAACTATTCATTTAAATAGCGAAAACTAATTTCATTTTATCTTTCATTTATTTTCAGCGAATTCAGTGAAGCCAACGTACTTTGCGACAGAGTTTGTATGATGGAAAAAGGACAGTTTGTGGTCAATTTGATTCCTAGAGGTCATTAAGAGTAATAATCAATAATTTAACACTTTTCAATAATTTTTAGCATTTATTGAAGCATTATTTTGATTAAAAAATATTTTTTTTAACAATGTCTTATTTGTCACACTATGGTTCATCGCACAATAGGCGAAAGTTATGTTAAAAAGTACGGATATTTTGGGTTTAAATAATAAATATATATTAAAATAACAGAATTAGTACGTTCAATAATCCATCGGTCTATTGCACCAGAATTACAAGTAAGCACCAAATATTATATTTACTACAAATAAATGTAGCTACTTGCATTGCGAAGACAAAGATCTAATCTTTTCCCGATTATCGGGTCAAACAAAGTTGCAGTAAGATGAAATGGGATTTTTTCAGAAACCTATTAGCATAACAATTGAATTTTTTTCACTTTTACCAACAATATTTTTCTATTTTTAGACATAAACACAAATGTGTATAAATACATAAGTTCAGGTAGCACCCTTAAATAACATGCGTTTATTTATGAATCAATATCAATATAATCTACTTTGAAAACCTAAAAAAATCACTGTCAAAATATTGTCACAGAGTTTCTTCCTTATTAACGTATTAATGTCATTAAAGAATCATAAATTCCTTAATTGAAAAAGAACATTTAAAACTTTGAAAAAATTGCGAAAAAAACGTTTTTGGGTTCATGATTTTTACCTGTATCAAAAGATACTTATCTGGTAGCAGTCAGATTATATTAGTTAAATACTAGCTAAATAAGCCTAACTTGAACCAGATTTAAAACGAATTACCATCCTTCAACAGATTTTTCCTTCAATAAAAAGCAGTTTATAAAAGAACAAATTATTTTATAAACAATTTGAATCATGAAAAATGTTTTCAAAGCAATTTTCAAACAATTTATTGTAAAGAATCAATTTTTCAAAAAAGTATTTTTTAATATTATATATATTTTGTTATCCTTTGTCGACAAGGTGCTACTGCTCCTCTTGATTTCGGCCATTAAATAATTGTTCAATTTGCCGTCCAGCCGCGCACATTACATATGGTACACATATAGCCATACGTAAATTCGAAAGTTCCATCATAAGATTACCGAGTGCGCCTACGTGTGTGGCTGTGTGTGCGCAGACGTTGCGCAATGGCGACGGCATAATATCGCGGCAGGTAGCGCGGAAGACCGCTGCGGCCTGCAGCCGGGGATGTTATAAGTTTATGCTCGCAATGCGTTTGTGTGTATACGTGCAGTGCTCTGTGTTCAGCCATCGTTACAAGTGAAACGGCTTGGCGCGCGGAAGCCCGAAAGTGTGCAAAACTCCCCCCGCGCCAAGCATCGTCGCAGTGACGAAAACCTCGAGGTCGATCTCTCTCGGCTACTCGCTACGCGGCTCGTTCCGATTCGCGAGAAATCAACCCCCTTCCTTTAGACTCATCCGACTCGTAAGAAAAATGTCATTATTGTCCAAGCGAGCCCTATCTACATCTTTATTCGTAATGTCTCGACGCACACATCGAGCGCGAATGTGGTAACATGCCTTATATATCTAGCTCGAAAGCGGAACTTTGTGCATGGACTTTTATAAGGCAGTAACGGTGGCGGCGGCGTCGGTAAAATTTTCAAAGGAAGTCGCATACAGAGCTCGAGCGACTAGCACTAGTAGCAACAGCAGCAGCAGCCTGTAATTCACGCATAGTGGATTGGTCGCAATTTTTTCACTTTCACAAAATCGGCTTTGCTCGCGCGCACACTCGGTATTAGACACACACACACACACACACGAACCGCAGCTATGCGCAGAGCGAGATGACCGAGCCGCAGCTCTCGATAGCCAGCACAATAAGCTGCAGGTATATACAAGCGCCAGTCCATACAGCAGCTCTCTGCATAATATTGTAATATTTATTACAAGTAGTCTTATTAGGCGCTCTCGGCTCAGGTATCTCGACTCGAGCCGATATATGCAGTGCTCGCGTGAAATAAACTCGGGCTCGCTCGATATTTTCTCGAAGGAATTCTCATTAAAGCGCCGATTATTATAAACTGCGCGCGCTTTGCTCTCTGCCGCGCGCGATGCTTGCGCAAGTTTCGCGTAAAACGCGAGAATCGATACCTATCCTGTGTGTATGTATGAGTGAGTGTGCATTGCAGTCCGCGGCTCGTGTATATAATAATGCGTCGATCGATTGACTCGCTACAGCTATACAGGCCGTTTATTATTTGCAACTATTGTTTATACTTTGTCGCAGCTGCGCGGCTCGCATTTACGAGGGTGACGAGACTCGACTCGAGCTGAAAAGCTTATCATTGCAGCCGTGGCGACCTCAAATGTCCAGCCGCGCAATATTCCAGATAGTTCGTTGGTCTATTACGCGTGTTGAGGCCGCATAGCTGCGAGCCAGCTCGCTGTATATAGAAACTGCATAGCTCGGCACACAGCTGCACTCCAGAGAAAGTGTAATATGCTTTCTTGTCTACGTGCCCACAACGCGTGCCTGCTTGCTTCTATGTGCTATATGTATGTATGTGCGTGTGTGTAAGCCTATAGCTGCGTCTTAATTGCCTTCTCGTAACGATTAAGCCTCGCGAAAGTCCTGCCCGATGTGCCTTCTCAATAGCCGACCGAAAACCGGAAATTTAGAAGAAAAAATAGGGTGCGTAATGTTCTTTTGCGCGAGCGATATGTGTCGCGTCATCGCTGACTTTTTACACTCGCTCGTATATAGCAGCGACTCGCTATACATACACGCATGCCTATATGGAGTTTCCTCGTATGCATAAACTTGCGTAACGAACTTTATATCCTTTCCTTTTTCTCGCTCGCTCTTCTTTTCTTTGCCTAACGACCCAAGGACGTTTCGCGCACACTGCAATTACATCGCTGCACAAGTAGCTCTCTTGTCTCGAGCTGCCCGTCGAGTTTGCAGTAGGACTTGCCACCTTTCGATATTGAAAAATTTCCATTCGCAAACGGAACTGAATCAAGTTGACGGCCGAAATCTATTGAGAAAACCGTGTGCCAAACGGAACTGTTTGCTTTTTTACAATTGATGATTTATGCATCGCGCCTGCAACCTCGAAACCGTGACTTTGCCAACCGGACTACGCCTGCCGTTTACTCTCGCGAGTATTCATTTTTAATCACGGGTTCCTTGATCATAAATAATTTCTACGCCACGATATTTTTTTTTACAAGCGCGCGAGAGGCTGTTGAACCTCGAGTGTAATGAGAGAGAAAGAGAGAGAGAGACAAATCTTGTATTTATTTTTATAATCCCATTTGCGCGTGTAGAAAAGCTTTTTGTAATCGTTGCGTATATCTAGTTACAACTGTCAGGTTGACTTGTATCAAATCTCTCGTTGATTTTCACTTATCCCTGCTTAAGCATGTAATAAGATTTATATACGTATGACAAGGATTGAATAATTTTCAACAAGTTTGTAGTTTTTTTTCCATTTCTTTTTTATTACAAGTACAAAAAGTTGATTGATACACAGAGGATCGCTCATTTAACGGCGAATCTGCTTAATAGTAATACATAAAAGTAACGCAGTTGTTTTGTCGGGCTGTGGATCAGCCGATTTTTACTGACATTTTTCCTCATCATTACAAATATTGATAATGATAGAAAAAAGAAGAGGTAAATTGTTTGTTGTCGCGAGTATTTTGTACAGCGCGCGTGTGTCATGTGTTGTAGAGTAGCATAAAAAAATAAATGCTCATCGAGTTGCGCCAAAGCGCGGACAAAAAAATTGTCTCGGAGAAGTTTGGCGATCAGTTTTACGCATGGTCGGTCGTTGTTTCACTTGCAACATTCGCATAATATGCTCGTCTTGATTTACCGACTTTTTGCCAACATTCGGCGTGCTCGTTCGTCCGACCGACCGACGTGAAATTGATCTCTCTCGCTGACTCGATAGACAATGGATACGTCGTCGTATTTTATGTTAATTATTTACAATGCGTACAAAGAGATTACTCAAACGCAATTATTTAAAATAAAAAAAAAAGGTAAAAAAATAGTGTTGAGCTTTTAAAGGTAGGCAAGAATCGGTGTTGTATTTATTTATTTTTCATTCAATTTCTAGGCGCAGGTGTAAGTGTATGTACACGCAGCAATGATCGCGTTATAATTCGTGCCTATGCATCGCACTGATGCATCGCTCGAAAGATAAATTACTCCCGCGCTCAAGAAAAAGAGAGCAAAAGTTGTTTTTTTCTGCTCGGAGCGTTCGCGTGTTGAGCCAAATTCCGAGAGAAGCCGAGTCTTGGAAGAAAAAAAGAGATAAGATTTTTCTATTAAAGAAAAATAAAAGTACAAGAACAAATTAGGCGCGCGCAGGGACTCTGGGAGAGAAAGAGAAAGAGAGATGAGAAAATTTGATCGATGGAGTATAGGTATATGCGCAGCGTTTCGAAATGGCACGGGCTTGCACTCGCGTGCTCGCATGCACATGTAGACGTTTGCGCGAAGCAGCAGCAAAGAGGCAATGGAAACGTGCCATTGTCGAAAGTGCCGCGCAGTGGGTCGCGATTCTCACACGCTCGACTTGCACAATCGTTGGAATCGGCCTAGGCCGTTGTCTCGCGATGTAGCTGCAGGTCAGGGTGTACGAGTCCTCCTTGTGGAACGGATGACGTGGTTGCGCGCGCACTCGATCGTCGCTGCGAGCCTCCTTTGCCTCTCGTTTCTCTCGTGGATTTGGATCGTTATACTGATTTCAGGTGTTTCGTTTGGGTGATTGCTCGATGGAACGAATCTAGAAGAAGGAGCCGATGTCGATGCTCCTGGCTGTTTGTCGCAGAATCGAGTCCGGACGATTTAGTAGTGGCCGCTTGGCTGCCATCCGTGCTGCTGGGGCTCCTCGTAGTGGTGCTCCTTGTGCACGTGGACGGGCACTGGGTAGGGCACCTTGACTGGGTAAGGCACCGGCTTCTCGACCGGGTAGGGCACTTGCTTCTCGACGTAGTAGGGCTTGTCGACCGGAACCTTGACGTGCACTGGGTAGGGCTTCTCCACGGGTACTGGCACGTGTTTGTGGACGATGTAAGGCTTGGGTACCGGTACCTTGACGGGTACTGGGTAGGGCTTCTCGACTGGAACGGGGTAGGGCTTGTCTACTGGAACCTTGACTTCGTAGGGCACGTGCTTCTCGTGGATGACCGGGTAGGGCTTCTCGACGGTCACGGGGTAGGGCTTGGGCACGGGCACTGGGTAGGGCTTGTCGACCGGCACCTTGACTTCGTACGGGACGTGCTTCTCCACGGTGTAGGGCTGTGGCACCGGCACCTTGACCTTCACTGGGTAGGGCACGTGCTTCTCGACGGTGTAGGGCTGCGGGACTGGCACCTTGACCTCGTACGGGACGTGCTTCTCGACGGTGTAGGGCTGCGGCACGAGGACCTTGACTTCGTAGGGCTTGTCGACGGGCACCTTGACTTCGTAGGGGATCTTCTTCTCGACGGTGTAGGGCTGGGGCACGTGGACGGGCACCTTGACGAAGACCTTCACCGGGTAGGGCACGTGCTTCTCGACGGTGTAGGGCTGGGGCACGGGTACCTTGACCTCGACCGGGACGTGCTTGATGACCTCGTAGGGCACGTGCTTGACGTGCTCGACGGGCACCGGCACCTTCTTCACGACCTCGACGGTCTTGATGTGCTCGTGGTGCTCGTGGTGCGACTCGTGGCCGCCAAAGTCACCGAAGCTGCCGTAGCCCAGTCCATGGTCGAGTCCGCGCTTCTCCTGCTTCTTCTCGTCCGACTTCTTTTCCGCTGCCTTCTCTTCGCAGTGCGCTAACGCTATTAGCGCCAGGAAAAAACAGATCTGAAAGCAAACGAATTCAAACAAAATCACATTAGTATCTCGCCTGATGATTATTAGCTGGCTGACTGCGAGTCCATGTTGTTGTTGTTGTTGTTGTTTGTTGTTTTGTCGCGTAAAAAAATTTCTAGCCGGCACTGTAATTCACACGTGCGAAATACGTAGCATCTGCAGCACGCATATCTGCGATTCACACGCACGGAGGAGCGCAGCGCGAGTTTCGTATAGTCACACTCGGCGTACTTTGCTACGATTGAATTGCGTGTCTGCGAGAAATCGACGTTTTTTTCTCTCTCGCTCGGAGCTCGGAGTTTCACGAGCCAGTACATAAAGTGCCTAAATATTTCACTTTCTCTGCAGCAGCAGCAGCACAAGATCGCGCAAACGTACGTAACGAAGAATAAAGTCCGAGCACGTTTGTTAATAATTCCGTACATATAATGCAGTTAAAGGCACTTGATCGTAGCGTTGCGTGAGTTGTACAAAGTAGAGTAGAGTCACTGCGTCGAGTCTTGGTCGTCCAGGCCGGTCGCTGGTCGCGAAGCTCGAGACTTACCTTCAGCTTCATGATACGGCCGATGCGAGGTATCTCTGATCGTATCCGCGCGCACTCGTAAAAGATCGTGGTCCGCTGGAACCACTTGAGTGAACTGTTTGAGTTTTCCCGCAGCGAGCCTTATATACCCCAGAGGATCGGGATCAGGCGAATGTTGTTGCCTGCGCCTATGTGTGTATTATGGGGGCCCGACACTTTCCCTCCACTCCAGCGCGAGCGCGTGCAGCGTTACACATTATTACGCTCTCGATCCGCGCCGCGGCTATAAAGCATATACCTGCTCCCTCCCGTCGACCCGCGTACCGATGTATGCACGCACGTACAACACGGCTATTACAAAGGGCTCGCTTGTATTCGCGAGGCAGCGATCATAGCCGAGTCTCTGGCAAAGGTTCTTTTTTTCGTACACCTATGCACCTCGAGCGCGCAAACGATGAGAACTCAAACAATCAATCCGTTGCGATACGACATCGAGAGACGTGCATTGTTTGCCGGATTTTTTTTCGAAATACGCTTTTCGAACTGTAGCTATATAGGATCGTTGTATTATATGCTACAGCAATTATGTTGCATGTACGGTGCATTATGCAGTTGGAAGGTGCATTAAAAAGCTATACATCATGGTCCAGCGAGCTGCGCGTTATGTATACTCGACCTTTGAGGCATTTATTTTCAGCTTTATCTTGACATTAAGACCCTGTGTGGTAGGCGCAGACATTGGAGCGTGCAGCGAAGGCGGCCAAAAAAAACCAGTCGAACGGTGTCTATTACGTGAGAGATTTTTACATGTACGCGCGCACCGGTGACATAACGCGTCGTTCGCTCGGCCGCATTACCGAAACACAATCATAAAAGGTGCACAATCGAATCGGGCCTTTATTGCACCACAGACGTGGGCCTGAGCCGCGTGTGTGTGTCAGCGATGCACGCGAGAAAACCAATAAACGCCGCTAGTCTAGCTGCAACCTAGTAGTGCATCCCAATTAGAGGCTAAAATCGTGAAGACACCCTTAATCACCGGCTGTATAATATTATTCGAGCGAACGAGCGAGCGACAGAAGGAGACGGATCGTACTTAAGGATAATCACTTTCGCCGGCGCTGCTTTTCGCCTATGAAATATTTGCTTGTAACACCTTCTTGCGCGCGAAAAATCGCAAAGTACAAGGATCGTGCCGAGTTTATTATCTGCTGCAGCGCAAAATTGTCTCGCATCTCTTTTCGCCTCTCGGGGGCATTTATTATTGCGCGATCGGCAAGTATAGTTTGCAAGAGTCACGATCCCATGCACACATAAGCACAAGCGAGTGAGAGAGAGAGACGCGGACGAGACCGTGTATATAGCTGCTAAGGAGTTTTGTAAGAGCTTGCGTAATATATATGCTTTCGTTACATACACCTCCAAACTTGAGAAAGATTCACATGCGGCGCAGGGTTGCTCTTTTTTTTGACCGTTCGTACTAAACAAAAAGTCAGACAGAGATTTTCGTTGCCTGCTTCTCTCTATGGATGCGAGCTTAATTAGATCGAATGCGCATGTCTCACATCTGATGCCAAGCGAGTAGAAAAACTGACTCTGTGTGTGCCTCAGCGAGTCTCTATTGTTCCAAGACCTGTCATATAGGCAGCCTCAATAGACTCGTTGTACTCGTTACTTATAAGTAGATATGTTTTTGCGCAGCTGCACTTTGCACAGGTGAATTTTGTTGTTATTGTTGCCGCTGAATAATGAGGTTATGCACGTTATTATACATTCGAAATTCGAGTCTCCTTGCGAAGGTGAACACCTTTCTCGCGCGAGAGCGACCCTTTGTTTGAGCCCAGCCACAGATAGCAGTTGCCACGGGTTGTTTCATTTTTCAGTCGCTCTGTTGTTTTTTTTTTATCCGTGAAATCGAGTAATCTTTTTTTTTTTTTCAACTTTGACGTGAGAAATGTGTCCGTGATCAAGCCAAGCGAGCAGTTGAGTTGCTGCAAGCAGCAGTACAAAGGATCCAGGAAGTTGCAGCTTTGCCGCGCTTAATTGAACGTTTTATATTAGTAAAACAAACTAAAAGGCTCAGGGTTAAACATCAATTTCATCGTATCGGTGGCTCGTAAGTGTGGCGTGGCTACAAAAAGACTCTGACGCGTGTCATGATTTTCGTACGATTGCACGAAACTTTTGTAAAACAGAGATAAGTAGTACGTGTATCGGTGTGGCCGTGATCCTGTTTCTGACAAATCGAGCTACGTAACAAAGTGTCGCGCGAGCACGGCCAAAAATTAGGTGGCCAAATCGATTTCTCTGTCAAAAAAGTAAAACTGCAACACGTGCCAAACAGGAATTACGGCGAAAAGTGAAATGTATTCGCGTCGACGCGTTTAATAAGCCGATCAAGGACCATTGGCTGCCGGTACTATTACGCACTTTTCTTTTCAGATCCGAAGCCATATTACACGGTCATGTGCAGGCTTTAGAAAAAGAGCAAAGCTAAAACCAAGACAGCTCAAAAAATATCCACATGGCTATATAAACAACAACAACTACAAGTTTAAGGAAAAAAAGGCAGTACGCATGGATATGAACGCGTGTGGAGGTAGAGTAACGGAAGGTGTTCACCTTTGCTGCGGTATAAGTAGGAGCAGCAGCAGCGGCAGGTAAAAGTAAAAGTGAATTTGCACTACATGTTATACGGTCTGCACGTATGTATCTGTGTGCATACGTACAGCGAAGAACGTAGTCAGCCGCGCGCGTCTGTGTATACATATGCATCGTGTATATAATGCACGGATGAAGTGCACTGCTACGTATTATAAGCAAATGGAGAAAATCATTCTAGCCGCATAAGGATCTACCTGTCGACGAGAGAGAAAAGTGGCCAAACGATGCAGCTGCTGCGGAAATTCAGCGCCGCGATCTAGGTTGCTCCTGCGTATGTTGGATGCGTCGATCGTGTGTCCCAATAAAAGATTTCAAACGGCGATCCTGATAGCCGCCCACGCACTTTCACGCGAGCAACTAATGAGTTTATTTATAGCGACGGTAGCTGTTAACGTGTTCAGGAGGAAGCTTTATATTCGGACAGACGTAACGTCCATAAATTACCTTCTCATATATACATTATAATAAAGAATACATTTGGCCTATCGCAGAGAAAACGTGTACGTGTATAGCTGCAAGTGCGTTATGTTTCATTATTTATACATAGTTTTATTAAATCGAGCTATGAAAAAAATCGATACATAATGTATGCGCCGGCTTTTCAGCGATGATTATATATTTACATTTGTGCAGCTTTTGCAGCTGCAGATATGTATTCGCGCGCGAGCATTGCATCATCAAGGCTGAGACAATAATCTTATATATCATATCTCTCTCTCTCTGACTTCTCGCGCACGATTAAACTGCAAATCATATATAATTCTGCGCATTGTACGTTTAGCTACGAGGTAGGTATACCTACATTATATAGGCTATATAGCTGCGTCAGGAGCCATGTGCAGTCGATCAATCGCGATTCAATCGCGCACTCAGTTACTCAATGCGTGTGTACATATAGCTCGGGTCGGACGTGCGGCGAGAATTAACGAGGCGCTGTCGATCGGTCCTCGGCACATAACGGCATTGTTTGATGTTAGTCGGAGCTGCCACGCGCGAGATAAATAGACAGCTCCAATTGGACGATTACGCGTGTCGTCGGAGCTTTGCGAGCACCTCGACGTAAATCGCATTTCTTAACGACGAGCGCGCGCGTCACCTCGGCTATCCATAAACTGGACGAAAATATCGCGCCTGCGTCAATTAGCTGCTCGATGCACTCAGCAAGGCGCGCATATACGAGCGTTATATTGTCTGCTTGTTTAACACTTACAATAACGGCTATGGACGTTAAATAGCTGCAATTAATTCGCCGCCTCGTGTACAGCCGCAGACTTTAAAACGCGAATAATTCGAAATCAAACGGGTATATAATTCGCGCGATGCTACGTGATACTTGGGCGTGTAGCGCGCGATGAGCTCCTTTCGTTCTCGATGCTAATGACCGCGCGCAGCTAATATTATAGAAATAAATTCATTTTACATATTATTTCTGTGGCCCGCAAACATATTATAAACAACATATTATAAACTACGTACGTGGCTCTAGTGGTAGCTGGTGCAGTTTTGAGCTGCAGCTTTCTGATTGTTCAGCCAGATTTCCAAGTATGTGTATGACTTGAAAAATTCAATTTCTCTGCTCTGCTCAGGTGCGCTTGTGTAACACGCTCGCAGCTCGCGCATACTCGCAAGAAATCATTTAAATACACAGAGAGCATATTATAGCAGAAACTAGCTCAATTTTACGACCAATATCGTAAAGAGCAATAAAGTTATTTTCTAATATTCGCGCTGATTCGAGTTTACTCATAGCCGATGTTATTGCTGTTTTTTAGCTGTTTTCGTCGACCGAAAACCCGCTGAAATGATTAAATTTTTTTTCGTCTCTGCAACTGCACGGGGCTCCGATGTCGCGCGCCCCGACTCGAGACAATGTAGCATAATAGAAGGGCGTTCCTAATAACGATCTCGCACATAGACGCGTTGCAGCAGCAGCAGCAGCTGCCGAGTCACCGAGCGAGCGAGAGATTTTTGACGCTTCTCCCTCTCGCAGCGGCGCTGATAGAGGGAAAAAAGACGACGAGCAACGACGCGTAGTAGGAATATAAACGCATGCGTAAGGTGGCACATTGTGCTGCAGGTGCTGCGCGACGAGCACATCTTTTTCACGCGACTAATGCTGATTGCACTTTAACTGCCTGCGCGCGCCGCCGCCGTCCAGAGTCGTCCCCGTCGTCCTCAAAGTCGCTCTTGCTCTTGCCGTTGTTGTCGCGCGCAATAATAACTGAAAGAGAGAGATTCATTATGATATACAACAAAGTATACAGTGTGCCTAGCGCGCGTTTCTTTGAAGTTTCTCTTTTGCTGCGGCTGCTGACTACACCTCTACCTCCGGCTCGCACCCCGTAGTCACGTCATCTTACATATATTTT